ATATATATAAGTGACAATTCTACATGAATCCATTCTTAATACAGAATTATAGCAATGTATTGAGATAAAACATATTTATTTTAAGTTACTGTTTGTCGTTTTTTCTACGGTGGGCAAATTATTTCCGTACCCCATACGTATAATTCCATCTATCCTAAACTCAATTAATAGTAAATTAACTTTTCGTTTTTTGTTGGTCACCTCAAACGTTTTAATTACACACGTGCTTGGATTTGAGAAATCACAATATAGAGTCCATAGAGGTCCACTGTCCACACTTTGTTTTGATCAAAAGCCCTCGTGATAACATTACTTGGTTCTTTTATTCAAGATTCTGCGGCTTAGTTATCTTCTATGATCAATAAAGAGCTATTGTTTCGCTGAAGGCCATCTCGCTCAGTGTTTTCAGCAATCTTCAACGGCTTTCACCATCGACTTTACCCTCAAAAGATATGCATTTAAGTAATGAACGGCTATGGTTAGCTATAAACAATATCGTCGCTTCTAAAGTGCTTATTCTCAGATGAAACTCAATCATTTGATGATCTGACAATCTGATGTAAATCTTGCCTGCCGTAGCTTAAGAAGTTATTCGTATATTTCAATATCAATGCGCCTAATTACGTGATCTTCAGTCTAATATAGTTAGCTTGATAGGTAAGAACGACAATTGATTCATCAGCTCCTAACTGCTGGTCCGTTCACCATAACTTGGAAGTATCGAATTATAGAAATGAATTCCTTCGTGAGTCGCTCTTGAAGCTATGCTAAATTGTGTATTGCGTGGTTTCTTCATTTAATCCTATCACATGTAATCAGACCTGTCTCGTAATATAGGTCGTTGGTGCAAACTACGTTAACCTAGAACTGCCTGTATATGCCATCAACTATCGTTCGCGCAACTTATACCAGTTCCGACAAGAACGAATGCAAAGTAATCGAAAATAATTTCGGTTTGCTCAATTACAGTTAAGTTAAGTTAATTTTATAGTGTTTACTGTCTGGTAGTTAGTAGAAGCCGTGAGAAAGTATTGGCGGTCTTGTGAAATGAATTGATCTTCTCTGTAAGGCGTTCCAGATCGTGTAACTTGGGTATAACATGCGACGCTGTCAATTCCTGCGCTGTTCTGTGTTTGGCTATATAGTATTGTGCCGAGCATTGTCAGGACATTGGTTGGGGCCTAGAGTCGAATTCTTCATACGAGGTTTTGCCTAAAAAAATGTCTTTTTGGGTTTGACTCGCGTGTGATTACGTCGCTTTATAAGTAAAATTGAGCACTTGATCCAAGCAATATGTAATAAATAATTCTTCCTTGATGTTATCAGTTATACTGAAGACATTGCGCATCGTTTCAGTCATGAGGGACAGACGGCCACCGACATCAAACTCTCACATCAAGCAAGCTGTACACATAGACTATAATATCAATATCCTAAATAAAGGTGAATGTTTTGGCTTAATTTGTTTTTCAGTTCCCAACACTGGGTAATGGCTTTCAAGTTTTCCTGCTCTTTAATTCGCATAATTTTCTCAATTCCGATCTGTACATAATTTAAACGATTAAATATTAGCAACACCACCTTTTCATGGATCCCGTTGCAGCCTGATGATAGCATTAAATTGCATTTTCCTTACAGAAATGGCCAATATACCAGGCAAAACCGAGCGTGAACCTCAAGAATCTGTACCTGTGGATATGAGCAATAATAGACTGATTCCAACAGCATTGGATTCAGTGGAGCCCATTAGTCAACAGGAAGCTGATCTCAAGGATGCCTCTATTTTAGATGAAACAACGACAGTAGAAATTTTGAAAACAGAGAAAACTGCCTCAATTGGTGCGTGGAAATCAGGAAAACCCCCTGTTTTTGCTAGAATGCCAACGCCCGAAGCGTGTTCGAAGTCACCCAAGGAGGCAGCCACCGATAAAGTAGAGTCACACATTGGGACAGAAGTTAAGAAGCCAACAAAATTTCTGCAGAAGCCACGAAAGCTTCCGAGCATAGACGGACTGGCTACCGTCATGTATGATCCAGCCTCAACCACAGGTATAGAGGAGTGCGGTCGCTACAAAAAACCGAAAGCCCCACCTGGGCATACAGCTACCCATAAGTCGGTACCATTCATCTCTAGTCAAAGCGTTCAGGCTTCAGAAGAAACAATAAGTATATCAGATGTGAAGATCTGCAAGAAGTTAGGCAGACAAAATCCGGAAGGAATTCCCACAATTGCTGAGACACATCCAAACCGAAAAGGATCGTTCGAACGTGAGAAGGGTTTGTTCACAGATCTTGTAATGCTTATCATTACTATTTAACATATAGTTCTTTAATCATTGGAACAAACGCAACTGCAAATGCGTTTACTGATATCTTATTATGTTGTATCACTTTATTTGAGACGGAATCTACCGCAAAAAAAATATACACTCTGAGCCGTTTGCTATTATGAAAGATTGCAGATTGAGCAAAAATGAAAACAGTGCTTTAAAATCGGGAGCGATATTATGACTGATTGTAGATTCAACGCATAGCACAACTTACCGTAACAACGATAATGGCAGTTTGAAAAATAGGGCAATGATTTTTAAAAATATGTGTGTTTTTATTCAATCCCACTTGTCGTGTAGCATGGTTATTGTGGAACTTGAGTCAACAATTCCGGGATTTTTCAGCCAGAAGACCAACTTTCTTAGCCATAACTCGACAAAGATATAGATTCATATTGGAATTGTTTACATTACAAGCTTGGTTAAGGAAAAATACCTGTTTAAAGCCAAATACTACATAATAAACCAGCTTAGTACAAAAAATAATAATAATAAGTAGTTTTATTGCTTTTACGAATTTCAGGACCGCGAGCCAGCCGACGAGCTAGCACAGGATCATCAATCAACGAGGATTTTAACAGTAAGCCGCCATATGAGTAGCCTGAAATGCTGGCAAAAATTAATGATATGATTGTCCATGTCATTAATTTTCCTCTATTTTTTCTTTTTTTTTTATACGAAACGTTTGCTATCATTATGGTGTCGATTGTTGTCTCAGTCGATTGAACTGGAACTTCCTAAAGCGTTCTGAAAAACTGTACTTCTGCTGTTAGCTCTTGAGCAAGGCTGACATGTGTGCTAGTAGAATAATACCGAAATATAGCGGCTATCTAGAATCAGTCAATTTTAGCAAAGGTTAACAGTCTACTCTTTATTTCGCACTGGTACTAATTCAGTTCTTATATTCAACTCGCTCACAAGATTGTCCTAACTTTATAAATAGCGCACTCATCGGCACAATTAGCGTAGTGTGTATAGATTTCTACGAGTACAAAAATGCAGGTACCAATCTTTTACTAGGCTCACGACACCCCGCAGCTCACGAGCACACTCTAGCACAGAATTAATTATAATGATTATATTTAAAATGTGTACGTAGAGACGTTGCATCTCCTGTACTAAAGAAATCATTGGTAATCTCTGTGTTTATGAAACTTTTTTACGATGTGGAAATTTAAAACATTCTTACTTGCCATTGAGCTAAGTAATTTCCAAATTTACTAATAATATGAAAAAATATCTTCTAAGGTGAACTAAAGGGACAGTTTATATAATATAGGCCAGTTTAAAAGGGCCTAACTCCATTTCAATAGTTTTATTATGCTATTATAGAAATTACAAGACTCGATTTGTAAAACGAGACATTACAACAAATTTAGGCCCATTAACGGAAGCTCAGCAAATCACCCTAGTCATTTATTCATTTTACCTTTTCAAATCTAGGCAAAATGTACTTGGACCCTTATGGTGGCATGGGAACTCTTCATATATAACGCGGCTAGCTTCGCTATCACTGGCTGAAAAGAAACAATTACGTGGCCTTATACTCTAGCAGTGTCATTTCCGCGTTAATTTATCGACAAACAAATTTTTTACTTTAGAACTTTGAATAATAGTTAAGCTACGACTTTGAACTTAATCCGCCCACACGGAAGTGCACGTTATAATTAACGCCAGTTCCATTATAGAGCAAATAATGCCATTGCAGTGGGCCAATGTTTGTGATTAAATGACGCCTTAAGAATAAGTAAAATTATTTTTAGTCGTTTTGTCAAGCATGCGTTAGAATTACATATTAAGTATAGATTTTTCGCCTCTGTCAGCAGTTTTGCCGAGTCGCCCTCTGGGTGCTGGGACTAGCCAAGAAAGAGGGGCGGACGATGTGAGTTTTGCTCAAGTCCAGAAACTTTGTACCGCACTGTCGGTTGAACAAGCCAAGAGAACTTCACTAGATAAAACAATAGGTGTGTACTTATTATCCTTTTCTGTTTGCTGAGGAAAAATGAGCAGAGATTTGACCTAGAATGTAACACTGCTAGTGATCAGCACACCTGCCAAAGAATAACTTATTTCAATAAGATACTTCTACGAATGTGAAAATAGGGGCCCACATGAAAAGTGACTGATTCCTCTACTTACTTTACGAGCATATGGTTATTGTATTCTAATTAGAGGCAGAACGTCGAAAAAAAAATGTTTTGTTATCAAAGCGTAGAACCCACTTCCAGTCATCCATTTCAACTCAACTCAAACTTGCCTATATTCTGCTAATTGCAGATCGAAAGCAGCATAACCGGAAGTTCCTAAGTCTAGGCTGCTTGTACAGGAAGAAGTTTACGCTGCACCAAGAATTGAGGTTTGGACGGTTCGCAGGTGAACACCCATACGGAACCCTGGGGCAATATCGAAAATTTGTTACGAATGACGAATTTTCTGATGATAGCTACTATTCCGCTCAGACGTACACTTTGCTACAAAAAAGCATAAGAGCATCAAGCAAAAATGACACGTAAGTACTATACTCGTAGGCAACTTAACAACTAACGAAATGAATAAATTTCTGCGCCTGGTTTCGCTGTTACCAGGCGCAAGTTTATCAAAAACAAGTTTATGGGCCTCTGCGAACCTCATCTATAAAAATCTGAGCGTTCACGAGCGTTCATAAAATCAGTGTAGATTTAAGATTTTTTTTGCCAGTTGGATCATTTAAGTATTTTCTATGTGATCTGCATGGCATAGTTTACACCTGCTAACGTAGCTGGCTTCCTTTGATATCTGCTCAGCACACATTGGGATCATGCGCTTAGTCATCTTGCAAGATAAGAGGTGACTTGTCCTCAAGAGATTTCTCTCTTCAAATTCGAACACACCTTCATAGTGCTCGTACCATTGCTATAATTGAGCAAAATATCAAATGTGATTACCTGGCATAAACTAATGTATGCGAATTATATACTTTACAATAGCATGCGCTACTATACCTAAGGACGAAGTGGCCCGTTCCGGTTTATTAATGGGAACGGTATGTTCGACTCAAATTTTGTGCCGTACGAAGCACGTAAATACGTACCTGTCCCTAAAATGTTCTAGAAGCACATTGTCATGCATAATACCGCTACTCTTTATTATCAAGACCATTGAGCATCAGAGCTTCTGAACGAAGCGTAGACATCATAAACTTGAACGATATATGTCTAGCCGTAGACAACACTATAACACAACATATAGACTGCTAACTTAGCAGTCTCACTGTTGAAGAGCTATGCGCGACACCGATGTCCAACACCGATGCAGTATATAGAGAATCCTGCCGGCGATCTGCAGACCCCTGCGCTCTTCCAACTTTGCCCCCGGTAAAAACAATTACACTCAAAGACTAAAGCTGAACAAAAGTGAAAGCGAATCTTACTCGCTAGTTTTCATCCCGCTACAATATGATTCTTGGATCGAAATTGTCTAAACATATGGTATAAGCATTGACAGTTTCCAGATAGGTGTATTAGAACTAGATTGATAATGTATGTTATTATTCAATTAAGTTGATTTCACAATTGAAATGGAAATACCCATTGTCTACTGCACTTAGTGACAATGGCTTGCTTTCATTATGTTGCTGATCCAGTGAGAAGTACGCATCCGAACAACAATGCGGAGATAATCAAGAGCCCGTGCTTATCAAGGATACTTACTTGCCTGCAGTCCCGCTAAGGTAAAGCACATCCCTATATGCGATCTGTTCTCGTCTAATAGATTTCGCCAGGCAAAAAGATGTGAGCTGACCGGCTTTATTATGGCGAAGTGGTGGCGGTGCACAACCGGAAGCCAATCGCTGTTCCGAAATATGACGGGAGAAAATGTAATTTATTTTGACGGAGATACACCCTAGAGATCCTAGACTTATAAAGACTTAGCTCTAGATATCCTAGAGCTAAGTCTTTATACTCGTATAACATTGTGATAGATAGGTTGCTTTCTACGCCAAGCTGTACTGGCTGGATTCCAAATTAATATAGACAGAGAGCCCTGGATACGATTCATTGCTTTTTCTCAAAATTCGAATTAGCCTTGATTTTTCCACGTAGATAAAATGCACTGAAGATAGTTATTCGTATTTTCGTATAGCTACTAAAAAAAAATTCATTTTACATTCGATGCGTTCTTTCAGCTCTTTCAACGATGAAGACACATCGGTAGATACCTATCGTAAACCCGTACCTATCGTTGACGGCATAGGTTTAAGTAACGCAAGCCCGGCTGCTAATGCTTATGGAGAACAACAAGCACGAACCTGGTCTTACTCTGTTGGAGTAGAAAATCCTTTGATGAGAGAGATTTCTCAAAGCGAGTCTCCGGAACGTTGCGCCGCTAGGGGTGTTGATGGGTTCAAAGAAAATGTGGGCTTTGCCCATAAAGAGCGCCAACGATTCTTTCAGCCGCACGACGGAAACAACGAATTAAATAACGAAGACCGGATTGACTATCAGCAGCCACTTGGGTCCTTCCTGCACAAAATAGTGCCAAGAGATAACCTGTCAAAAGGTACCTACGAACATAGCACTAAATTTTTATCAACATTTGACATTTGTAAGAAGCCAGAACTGTCTATATACGACAATATTAAGTACAAACAAGGATCAGGGCAAGATCAGCTAGCAGAGACTTTATATCGTGGTGATGAAGAAACAAGTTTATCTGTGGTCGCCACGGTACGCGATGCCGGTACCAGCCATAGCAGTGTCCACGAAACGATACTTGAGACAGTTGAACCGCTGCAAATACAAAGAATGTATCCATCGCAGGTGGCACCGTTTAGATGGGTTTACAACCCGCTTGAGGAACCTTCGGAAGTGAAAGTATTCGAAGCCGATGTTCGACAGGCATTCAAAGCTTCCGTAAGTGAACGCGACATAGGTTCTACGGCGCCGTCAACGACACAATCTAATGTTAATCAAGATCAACGACTAGTAAATCAGTCGATTGCTTCAGAGGTGAAAGGGGCGCTCAAAATCGATCGAGTTTGTCACCGCATGTTGCACAGTCTGTCCCAAAACAAGCACGATCATCCCTTACCTTCCAGCCTTGAACGATGCCCTGTAAACCTAAATCGGCAGTCGCTTCAGAGAAAAGACGTTTCCGTCTCTCAACTCATTCAGCATGATTCGGTCCCGGTTCAGACGTCTACATCTTCCACCGAAAACACCCACAAAGGGCCACTAACTCTAGCTCCTCGTACACGTGATGCAATAAAAACTCATGTGAGCGAAGGAATTCACCGACGCAGTACGGAGCATCCTCTACTTGATGCAACCACAACGGTTATAAATAAAAACCAATTAGATAGAACATCTCAAGTTACTACATTGGCCGGCGGGCCTATAGACTCGCAAGAGAATACGCACCAAAAGCCTTCGATGCTCCTGAAATCGCCACTGAACGTCGATGTAGGCGCTAGGGAGTCCCACGTCGGACAGATTGGACTAATTGACACGCATAGTTTACCAGCCAGTGATACATACAAAAATTCAGTAGGGTCTGTTCTTAGCGAACCATCTACGAATGGCAACTCATCTAAGAACACCCGTGGGGCTCACGTGGAAATCATGTGCAAAGCCAGCCCGGTACACAATTATATACCCTTGACAAAAAAACCTAATAAAGAACCTTCAACTTTTATGCTTGAGGCTCCTTCAAATGAGTGTGAAGGACTGGACATCAGTATATCCAGTGCTGACCAAATACAACCAGCAATTTCTGCGTCTTCCATCTATAAGTCTTTGGAGGATGTTTACGAAAGGCCGCCCACGCCAATTCCAGACACGCTACTAATTCATACATCATCGTCCGACTCAGAAAACATGGATAGACGGAACCCGCCAAAGCGTCAGGCTAACGTCCGTATGTCCTTGCAGCAGTGTCAACTGGGGTCAAGTGAACAAAGCATATATCAAAAGCTAGCGACGCCTACGTTCGAAGAGACTAATGCTAATGCGGTGCAGCTCGTAGATTCACAGAACTCGGACGATGATAGAAGAACCGTACTAAAGAAACAGTCTGATGATGAAGCAGAGTTCTCACCAGTACAGCGGTTCAGACAGTTAAGCGAGAACGAACGTTCGTCAAATCACGTTGAACGTCGCAGTCGCTCAGTGATAGAGCGTGCAGTCTCTAACTTCGTTTCGCCGCCTTTACGCCGTGTAAACTCCTCGGGTCTACTTCTCAGTGATGAGCTAGAGATGTTTGTATGCCAGCATCGTTGCCAGTCTTCCTGTTATGGCCTTATATGCCCTAAACGGTTGGCCCTGAATCCTTGGGTCAAGCATGATGCAAACGTGTTGAAAGATTTTACAAATTTAGAGATCCTTAATCGGCGCCGACTATCTTATCTACTGGCAATCGAAGCTCAAAGCTTCATTCGGAACCATGGGCACTTTAGTGCTGCTACCGATATGGTCTGGGGTAACAGCTATAAATCGCCTAACAGAGGCTGTGAGTTTTTACCGAAAGCATCTGAGGAAAGGAATGCTAATCCTGGCGACGACGACTCATCGGGTACTGATGAAGACCAGATTAACTACGAACTTTCCAAAATTGAGAAAAGGCGTCTAAGCAGTCAGCTTGAATACGCCTTAAAACCTGTGATGGTTTTGCCACCCCCTAAGTTCAAAGAGGCCGCGGGTCCGGCGACTAAGAGCTTTACCTATGAAACACCCAAACCACCTATTGACAAAGAGGGACGTGACAATACAGTTGAGAGACTACCTAGTAATGGTAGGGCAAACGACGAATCACGAGTGTCCTTGTCTGAGATAAAAAGAAGCATATCCTCAACAGCGCATTCGTTAGAAAACGTTAAAATAGAGCAGATCCACAACAAGTCAAGTACAACTGCAGTCACCCAATCCAGCCTATCGTCTGCGGTCTATGGCGTTCCCTCAGGACAAGCCCCCATGACAGAGAAATCCAAGGTCACTGAGTGCACTGTTCAACAACCGCTTGGCGTAGCTCACGGTACAAGTTATGACACGATCAAGGCCCAATTCGAAGGTCAGATCGTGTGTGAAGCCTTGTTGCACAAATCAATACGGGGCACCGGAAGCAGCAAGCGGCCAAGTCTACCTTCAGAGATTTCCGAACTAACCGCTCGCTTCGCGCTGGAATCGTGGATATCGATTTGGAACTGCGTTCCCCCGCAAGAGGTGCCCCAACTGTCAGACGAACAAATTATCTCGCTGCATGATCATATACGCCTTATTCTTGCCAATCAGACCACACTGAAGGATGTGAGAGCGGCTCTTTACGAACTAATCAGGCGCGTTTTTCAAAAAAAGCCAGCTTTTGGTGTACCCGCAGCAAACAATTGGTCACCATGACGATCACAATAGTAGTTTGTAGCACAAAATGGCTAGAGATAAAAAAAAAAAGCATCTGAAACTGGTGAACGCTTTTCTGAGGCAATGCGGCTGCAGCAAAATGAAAAACGTGATACGAAAAACGAAATTAAGCTTCTAAGCGTATCTTCATTTACATAACTCGTTACATGATGAATATATGGTGAAGATACTTATTGATATGAAACATGAAATGTATAGAAAAATACAAATTTGACAATATTAATCATAGAAACTTAGACAAGCATAGTAAATTGCAATGAAGCTATTTATATAAATAGCTTTGATAACTCAGATTGCCAATGTAATAATAAAAGCTTCTTTGTCTCGATGGGATGGTAATTTTCAGAGCCAGCTCTTTAGTGGTAAAATAGCAAATCGATGTTTTTAAGCCTACTTACGGCTAGCGCTAAGCTAAACTTTCTAAGCAAACATATTTCGTTCGAACAAGTAATTCTAAATGGCTCTACTGAGTGAACAGAATTAGACTCAGGCAAAACTTGGACGTGATAGGACGGACAGCTCATGTTGTCGATGACGGCAGAGATTTGATAATACTACTACTAATGTTGTACAGGCTTCTTTCGAAATGTGGGAGTAAGATCATCGTGCCATTTTTCTACCGTAAGCGATAACAGCTGCACCAATTCTATTTGTAGTAGTTGATGAGAATTTATTAAACGTATAGATGCAACCAAATAATAGCACTAAATACTCAATAATCGAAATGCAGTGACGCGACAATTTATTATAGTTTAAACTTGTTCTTTTTTTATTTATTGCAGCGTATCTAGCTCAGCGTCATTAGAGCCCATTGAGCCCAGTATCGTTCATTCACAGCACTGCCGCACGTTAAACTTCCAACGTTTTGTTATATCGCTTTTTCTGCCGATGCTTTGTATTTGCGACAGAGTATCTTCATGCAGTTCAGTCACTTCTGTTCTATCGCGCTAAGAAAAAGAACGGGCGGCACGTAGTTAAAGGGCGGGAACAGCTGTGTGTAGGAATCAATGTGTGACAGTGCACAGTGTTTATTGTTACTGCCGCTGGAGCTTTTGTGGATGCTGATTAGAACGTGAATGTTTTCATATAGTCTGAAAATCAAAAAAAAAAAAACGATATGACCGAAGCTTTTGAATCTGTACTCGATCGTTAGTCGTTCAATTGGGAAGCGTCGTATGAGATCTTGATGCTCTTGCAATTCTTGCGAATGATGTCGATGGAAGCCTAGTAGACGAAATCCGTTAGCTAGACAATCTATTGCGCTACAAATGCCCTTCCGGGAAGATCAGTGTCGGCCGATATTTGCACCTTGATAATGTATATTAGATGCAGCAAACCAGAAGCTAGCACTAACAGTATGAATACAAGGTGTACGAAGCCGGATATTTTCTAAACCGAGGTCCAATACCAAAACCGTGAAACAGCAGAGCAGCGTGAATCAACGGAAACCGTTTCCAATTTGCTTTAAAAATTTGATTAAATTTTTAAATTTAAACAGCTGTCTATAGAAAACATGATCCCTTTCTACAACATAAAACGTTTTCTATAAACGCATATGCTCTATGCTTTGTTATTTAAAGCTTAGTGTGAGACGAGTCTGATTATTTATTATCTACGCAGAATGCGGTACGCGTTACCAAATACATAGCTGTCTCTTTATCGACGTTCGTCTAACGTGTAAATGTCCACTCTCAAAAAATAAAATCATCAACTAAACAATTCGAAGTCGTTCAGCTTGTTGATAAACACGGGCTGCTACTGATTACCATAGTGATATCTGAGAGGCAATAATAAAAAGGACGACATCGTTGCCCAGCTTTGCTCGATAGACTGCAAGCTCCGAAGAAGGCCGAACGACGCCAGGGCACAAGTGGTGCTGACCTGTAATGTTGTATTTATACATAATATTGGCTAACTGCCTTTGACCATTCTGGTTATCAGCTTTATCCTTTCACGTTTTTCGCACCGAGTAAACTCAATAGTCTTTACGTGCTCTCTCAGCCATACGAAAGCTTGTTGCTTAAAGATGGACAACAAGAAAAGAGACTTGTTCCAACATCTACTAGTAGCCATAGTTGACTTGCGTCATGATGTCAATGAGCGTTTCTGTCGTGAGACGTGCTCCTATACGCTTCGCTACTGAACAAAAGAACCGTCACAGCAAACCTAGTCTCGTATCTATATGGGGCCATGTTTGTCGAAGGATAGATTCCCTCTAAGCGAAGCGGCCGATTAAAAGAACGACAAGCCGTGAATATTACCTTAGAAATCATTTTTGCAAAACCAAAAAAGTAGATTATATGTATTTGTATGCAAAAGTCGCTAAACGATCACTGGTTTCTAGGTAATGTTTAACCGTGAGAATTTCAGAGTGACTAAGGAGAAAAGGCGTTAGACGAACGACATGATAATCTCATCAGTGCATATATGTGTGGTTATTTTACGGAATATTTTGTTCTTTAGTTAGCTTTAATTATATCTACGTTATTATTAAGTGCTTAATTAATTAAAATTATTAAGTGCTAACAAAAACAATATAAGTCTTTTGTGAAGCTTTGTATGAAATATCACATGTGATCTTATTATTGTCAATTTATATTTAACTTGTTCTGGGTCATTACTTGGGTATTTGTGACCTACTTACTTATTATAATAAACGAAATAGGTTAAATTAAATAAAATTGCAAGTGAAACAAATAAAAAAACCTAAGCAGAATGCTATTCGACATGTAAGTACATAGTTCACATCTTTCATAATCCATATTAAAAAATCTTCGAATTACGAAGGTGTCCTCGTATGATTTGTTAAAGAGTAAACTTCTGTTGCATTTTAAATTAAATTAAAAATTCAAAATAAACTAAAAATTAAACTAGAACGGTCGTTGCGACTATTTATTGTACTATATCTTTCTGTGACTACATCAATCTACATAATTCTAAACCTGTTAGAGGTGAAGCGTATTAAACGCGTGTTGCTCATTTACGTCGTATCGCAGCGGCTTAAGAGTGCAGGGTTTTTAGAGTCTAAATATAGGCTACTATAAGTGGTTGATCCTAGATGATAATGGATAGGACATCGTTTCCGGGGGGCGGGGGGGGGAGCAGGCTTTAAGCGTTTAAGGTAGACAGGATACGAAGACCCGGTGTCGTGTGAACTACTTCCGGGACTGACTGGAAGGACACTAAGGTTCTGCAAAGTGTTTGTTATTACACTGTGGTCGAAACATATAGCTACAGAAATCAAATTGAATTCTGAAACATATCAATTGCAAGAAAACTCCAATATAAAGAACAGTTTAAAATCTTCACTTAAAAAAGAGTGAATTTAATTGGCTTTGTAGATTAATTCACGTTGACGCACGTATTACCCTCGTATCCGCCTGCTGATCCTATTCGGACTGCAATTAACGCAGAATTATCTTTTCCCTTTCTGCTTAAACATACCTTGGTACGTACGTTACAGAGACAATTTACTACGTCTTACATTCATGTACGACTTCTTTCTATAATCACATTGGTCTTCACCGCGTTTCTGCCAGCGTAGACCTCATACGAACGAGCCAGGTCTGGTAAACATGATTTCTCTATACAATATGTTTGTCAATGAGAGCGAGTCTAACCAGCAGGCGGTCTAATGCCGCCAGAACATGAGCGGAATCAATCCCCATAGCAACAGGTAAACAGACGCCCTGTCCTGCTACTGCCTCATGTGCCCTCTCCAGCCTTCGGTTGGAGGAGCCCGCAAAGTTGCGTTCGGCACCTGACCACGGTTTCATTGAGGAGACAAACTGCGGTGCGTTCTCGTTCGCATATTCGTTACGTTAAACGTTGGCGAGAGTGCGCCCACTCGTTCAGTTTACAGATTCTAATAAATGCTCCATAATAATATCCATAATAAATGCTTCCAATAAACGATCGACGGCTGCTTTGCCATTGGTTTCCCACTGACCGAACGTTCTCTCTGTTACTATCAGCCTCTGTTACTATTAGGTCGTCATTGGTAATCGAGAAATGTCCTTTAAACAGCTAAAACAGCCGTGCGAGCCGCTGCCTACTAGCGCTCGTATTGAGTTTTTGGCCTGTTTCCTTCTCGTGAACGTGGAATAGCGAGAGCGAAAAAACGAACCAGTAAAAATTTCATCTGACAGAAGGCGCTGAGCACTATGTAACAAGGCAAAGAGTCGAAAACGCAGGACCGTAGGAAGAGAAGCGAAACCGTGATTTTTAATATTGGGTAACATGCACATACATAAAGATACTGCTACTGCACGACGACGACAAGCTTTATGCTGTTCTGTATTGACAAAAATTGTGGGCTTGTTTTGCATACGTCTGTGACCTGTATAAACGGCTGGTTGTGGATAGCGACAAATGTTTTCTTCACTCTCGAAAAGTGGAGAGATCGAAGAAGGCTAGCGGGCACGGACCTTACTTGAGGGTAATAGGCATCTAACAAGCATAAATTTCAGGTAAACCAAGACAAAACGCCTGCAACGGTACCTGCCTATTTGTCTGTTCAAGTCGACACGTAAGCTTCCGCTGTTTGCTGCACTACAAAGTAAGGAGAGACGCAGAACGAAAACTGCTCGGTTATGTGGTTGCGTGCGTTTGCCAAGAAATGACAGCATCAAATGTCTGCCCGTGAAATTCTCGAGGTAAGACCCTGCGTCGTGAATAAGGTTGGCGACGCAAAATTTGAGTGTCAAGACGAGCTGCTTGGAAAGAAACAACTTCACAAATGGAAGCAAAGTGCCGGTCTTATTCAGCCAACGAATAACGGAGCGCGGAGGCCGTATTCCGGGTTTGTGCCTAAAATTGATCTCATGGACGATTATCAAGATACGGAAGCGGTGCGAACGTATGGATATTTTGGCAGTGTCGACGATCTGAACGGTGAGCGGTCATTAAGTCCGGAGCGATTTGTCCACGATGAGTAGCGTGAATCGCGAAAAGAATGCAAGAAACACTTAGCTGTTTTCAGATATTTCCATAATGTGAGTCTTGATCGTTCACCGGATACGTTTCCTGTGGATAGGGCAGTCGCATCGCTCACTCACGATGACCGGAAGCTTTCAAGCGGTTCGAGCGAAATTCAAGGCGATAGCCGAACAGCGCAGTTAGAGATATTCATTACGACGATGCGATTTCGTCGCCAGACAGGCAGGGCTTAGACCGAGAAGGTTTAGGTAGTCTAGAGAAGTTTCTTAATGAAAACACTTTCGACTTTGTATCTGAGCCATGTCCACGTAATATAACTGTCCGCTGTAAGATTATCGATAGAGGTTCCTACCCAACCTATTACCTGCATCTGGAGCGACCTGGCCAGGAAAAAACTTTTCCTACTGGCTGGGCGAAAACGCAAACGAAGTGCGACATCGAATTATTTAATGTCGTGTGGTCCAATTGATCTGTCATGAAATAGTGAATCGTTTGTAGATAAAGTGCGATCGAATATGCTAGGCACAGTGTTCACGGCGTATGACGCCGGGAACAATCCAAAGCCGGATGAAAAACACCGGAAGCGGAAACAGCTGTCTTACTACTCGAAGCGAGATTGCACTTATCGTATACGAGACTAACCTACTAGAATTCAAAGGACCCCGTAAAATGCGTCGTTCTACCTAGCTTGACGCTAATGGCAGGCGATTAGTCTTCCAGCCCGTAACAGAAGAGGAGACGATTTATGAACGCTTAAACATAGGCAAACTGGATGGCTGTACAGTTCTTAAGAACAAAAATCCCGTCTGGAATGAAGAAACTCAATCGTTCGTTCTAAACTTTCACGGGCGGGCCAATCAGGTATCGGTGAAGAATTTCCAGTTGATCGACGAAGCTGACCCGGACTATATCGCAATGCGGTTTGGGCAAGACAAGGAAAATCTATTTTCACTTGACTACAGGTAACCGGTATGCGCAGTCCAGGCCTTCTCAATCGCTCTTAGTAGTTTCGATTCTAAATTTGGCTGCGAATAGTAGGTTAGTGTAGCCAGTATACGAGCTTTATATGGATCACATCCATATACGGATTACTGCTTCCGTATGTATTGGCCCTTTATATACGCAACGTTGTGACTAATAAACTGACGGAACCTTGGCATGCTGTCGAAGACGT